TGGGTCCAAGCCAAAGGAAGGTGCTGAACAGGGATGTAAACAGCATCCAGCTCGGGAATTATGCAATTACGTGAGTCTGAGAGAGAAACCTCTCCAACGGCGTCACACAGGGAAGGATCCCGATGCCATCTGAATCCTGTGATGGCAGACCCTGCCTCAAAGCCAGGGCTGCAGACACCACAAGCAGCTTAATCCGCTGAGCACCGGGATAATGGGGCCGGAGGCGCAGCTGAGGAGCCCCTGAGCTGCGTGTGCACGGCTCCATTCCCAAACCCTGGCAGAGGGGGGGCCAAGCCGTGATTCATCTGCCTCCCACATGTCGCCCCTCGCAGCAAATCCTACCCGGAGATAATTGCTGTCTTCCTGAGTGGGTACCGCGACAGAGGGACCAGCCCGGCTGCGGGGCCGAACTGACAGCTCGGGGCTCTTTGAAGATGCTGAGAGAGCTGCTAAATATGCAAATCTAGGCACACTGCTGTGGCTTTAATTTAATGGAGTTGTTGACCCTCTGCAGCTGTGTGGGAGCAGGAAGAGACAGACTGTGGAATGCAGCATCCCTGATTGACTATTCCAGCCACGGGCCAACCTCTGCTCTGCTGGGCTCTTTTAATGGCTGGGAGTTGCTCCAAAATGCCATTTCTGTAGAGCAAAAAGCTGCTGGGTCATATTTCTGTTTCGATTCAATGAAAAAGCTTAAAAGAGAGAGGTAAGGGCGTAGCTCCAGGTCATTTTGCCCATGGCTGGAAGCTAAAGTAGGTCCAGAGCTGCCCTGGAAATGTCTCCAGTGGAGCAAAGCCAGCTCTGCCTCCTGCTCCAGGCTTCTTTCAGGGCTGCATCTGGTTCCCAGTGATAATGATGATGCCAACATCGTGCTCCTGCCTGGGATAATCTCCCTTTTATTACACGTGTCCTGATGGGGACAAACATTGCTGGTTCTGCCTGTCCAGTTTCTTATGTAACAGTGCCCAGGAACAGAGGGCTGCATGGGGGAGAGGTGCTTGGTTTTTGGAATAAGCTCCTTGGGCAAGAAACCTTAGATGTGACTCCCCATCTTACAAGGAGTCAGCTGAGAAACTCCTCCCTGCTCAAGCCCAAGCCATGATCATGCCTGGCACAACCAGCAGCCTCCCCATCCTTCCCCAAATAAAGCTCATCCACTCTGGGCAGGGCTCCTGATGCTATTGGAGAGGTCAGGATCAGAACAGGACAGTGCTCCCTTTTCCTGGTTGAGTCCCCTGCTCTCCCTGCCCAGCCCTCAGAGAAGAGCAATCAGCTAAATGCTTTATCCCTCTGCAGCCAGTCACGCCAGGGGAAGGAAAAAAAAATAATAGAAAGAAGCCTGAAGTGATCCCTTTGCTGGCCTGACACCTCAAAGCCTCTCACCTCTCCCTGTCTTTCATCGGAGTTCTAAACTCCTTAGGATGTCATCACGTGCTCCATAAATAACAAATATATATAAGCAGGGGCTGTGGAGGATGCAGCAGACCGAGGAGGGGAGGCAAAAGCCCAGATCCTCCTCTCCTGCCAGCGCTGAGACAACACCCCTGGAGGCAGGCGGGCAGGGAGCAGCTCAGCATCCCGGCTGGTAAGCACCTACATTCCTGCCCCATCCCAGGGGCACAGCACCCACATTCCTGCCCCATCCCAGAGACACTGACAGCCTCAGGGACATCTGCTGGTCCCCTGGCCACTGCAGCTTGCTCCTGTGTCCCAGGACGGGGGGGATTTCCCCAGAGGGGTGGGAGGTTGGTATACAGAGCTTGGCTTGCTGAGAAGTGGTTTTGGCACAGGGAAGGGTGTGACTCTCATCCCAGCTCCTGTCTCACCCCTACATTTCCAACACGTGCTTTCAAAATCCAGCTGCAGGAACTCTTCTCACTGAAACCCTCCCTGTTCTCTGAGTTCTTCCACACAGTATTTGACTTTAAGACTGGGTGAATAACTCCGTACTGTCAACTAATTAAAAAAATCCAGCTCCAAACCCTGGCAGACGAGTCATAACTTAGTAAAAGATATTGCCAGGGGGGCTCTGTGCACCTGCCGGTTTATTTATCTGTGAGCATGGGGATGCTCTGATTTCTGGTCCACAAACACAAGTGGTGAGTTTATTTATCTGTGAGCATCTCTCTGTACCATGGGGATGCTCTGATTTCTGGTCCACAAACACAAGTGATGGCAGGAAAAATTTACAGAGCAAGCTCTTTGTTCACTGCTGTGACACACAGACATAGTGGGCTCATCTCAGGCAGGTCTGGCAAGGAGTCACAGCACAAAATTCAGGTATAAGTGACATGGACAAATACAGAAGGCTTTGCTGGAGGAACGATGAGCTAGGGAGAATTTTCCTCATTGCGTTTCTCACTTACTCTGGGACCTGGGCAGAGTTTCTTTTACTTCTGCAGGTTTGATGCTTCCCATGGTACCCCCATGGCTGTGCAGGGCTCGTGGGTTTCTCCAGGGTTAGGGAGCACTGTTGGTTCCTCTGTGCTTTGCAGGTTCTATGTATCCCCCCCTCCCCAGAAGAACTTCAACTCTTCAGGGAGCTGAGAAGCAAAGCAAGAAGTTAATTTCCAGAAAACAAACAAAAATATATCAGCCCTTCAGCTGTATAACCTGGGTTGGCAGGAATAACGTGCTGGAGGGGAAAAAATACAAGCAAAACAATCAAGGAGCAACCTTTTCCCTTCCCTGCCTACTGCTCCAGGGTGTTGCTGATTGGGGTCTCAAGCAATTCCTAAAAATAGCTGGAGGGACCTGATTGCCCTTTCCCAGTTTTCTCTAATGGGATTGGAGCTGCCACTTAAATGGGAGATTTTGAATCTTGAGCTCCGTGGATGTCCCTGAAGAGACTTCCTGTGACTCAGTTGTTTCCAGCCTCTGTGTGCTCTGGGATAAAGACTTGCTCTTGGACAGTGAGCACTGAATGGTGGCTGTGGGAGAGCAAACATCTCTGAGGAACCTGGGCTGCTGGAAGGTGTCCCTTCTCCCTGCAGGGGGGTGAACTGCATGACCTAACTTTAGCAGTCCTTTCCAATCCAAACCATTCTGTGATTCCACAATCCAGCTCCATAACTCCCATGGGAACTGAAATGCTGGCCATGCCTGAGGTCATATTCAACTGCCCTCTCTGCCCTGCCATCCCTGCACAGCCATCCCAGCCTGATCCAGCAGCATCTCCCCAGCAGCATCCCCAGAGCTCACCCGAGGCACTTAGCACCCCCAGGATCAAACCACCACTGCATTTTCAAGGTCCCCTGAGCTTACTCTCTTGCCTGCTCTGGGATTTATTCATGCAGAAGAGTCCCTAATCCAATTAGTAGGATGAGGAGTTCCAGAAGATTTGATAATAAGCTCTATGAACATTAGACCCACCCCCACTCCCCAGCACCCCACTCTCCCTGCCAGCTCACCCTGCTTTGCTTCCCTCCTTCAGGAGCATGAACCACCCATTCCCAGCATGACTTCAGTCAGTCCTTGGTGCCTGGAATGAGCACTGGGGGTGCTAAATAATTCCCTTGCCAAGGAAACCCTCTGTCCCTGATGGATCTGATCCCTTAGATACACACCCACAGCCAAACCAGCGATTCATTGAAAATAAATCCTGACCACCCTGTTTCACCTCAGGCTGGATAACACTGGCATTTCAAGCATCCAGCCCTTGGCATTTCAGGATGGAAAATTCCCAGCTTGCGCCAGTTGTGCCCTGTGCAATGTTTGTGCTGGTAATGCTTTTGTTTCATAAATCCTATTAGCTGGAGGCAAGCCTATAATTAGCAGGGAAAGCCGGCACCTCTGAAACAATAATCAAAAATGACCTGGCTTTGCTCTGGCTTCACTGAAAATGAATTGCTCTGAGTTTGGATGGATGGTTGAACGGGTGGCTCTGAAAGCCATTCCCACTATTTCTGGTTGCAGGATGTGTGTGCTTAGTGAAGTTATTCACTCAGTTTGTGATTCTCTCTGGGTTTATTGACTCGGTTCACTCACACGTGAAAGCAGAGGCAGATTGAAGCTACAGGCTCTGATCCAGGTCAAGGGATTTGTCTGGGCTGTGCAGGATGGGTGCTGCCAGATGACCTTGGGTGCTGGTGACCCTCTTGGGGAACCCATGTTGAAGGTGGAGTGTCCTGGCCTGGGCTGTGTCTGGTGGGATCATGCTGCCCAAAGCTGCTGAGGCAGGGGGCAACGCCTGAGGCCACCTCACCAGGAGGACAGGCAAGGCTTTCAGCCTCAGTCACCTGCTCAGCCCTGCCAGGGAGCCACTTCTGTGGGTGTGGACATGACCTAAGAAGCTGACAGAGGTGAAGCTGTGTCACTCACCTGCTCAGTGAGTCAGAGCAGGGGGTAAATCCTGCCAGCTTGTGCTCTGGAGGAGGTGGCTCCGGCTGCCTGGTGTGTGTCCCTGTCAGGGAACCTCTGTGACCTCCTATTCTAGCACAGCTGTTCCACAAACACCAGAGCGTCACAGGGAACTTTCACACAGATGGATGCTTGTTTTACAGCTCTTGGCTTCCTGCGGGCACATCCCACCCTGCGTGCCCCTAGGGCAGCAGCTGCAGGCTTCTCCTGCCCATCCCACTGCCTGGTGCTGCCATGGGCTGGGCAATGCTGGGCGGGATGCTCAGCCCCCCACCTGCTCCAGCTCTAACAACGCTGGCTCCTCTCCCTGCTCTGTCCCACCACCTGGATCACTGTGCTTCTGTCCCCCTGCTCCCTGGGGTTTGCTCAGTGCCAGCCTCCTGTGTCCCCCGGCTGACAGCAAGAGCAGCTGGGATCACTGTGGGCAGATATTTGCTGTACATACAAACAAATACCCATAGCAAAAGGGAGACAAGCATCCTAATCCTGTCTGTGAACAACAGATCCTCCTGCCGGCTAGCAGTGCTGGAGGAGCTCGGCTGGAATAAAGGGTGCGGGAGCCGGCAGGGGCTGCCCCGAACCGAGGGAGCGGCGGGAAGCCAGGCGGGCGGAGGAAGAAGAGGAGGAGGAGGAGGAGGAGGATGTCGGCACTCAGCGCGCTGCCCTTCCTGAAGCCGGTCCAGCTGCGGTCGCCCCGCGGCTCGCCCGGGGGCCAGCGCCGGCACACGCTGCCCGCCAGCGAGTTCCGCTGCCTCAGCCCCGAGGATGCTGTCAGCGTGTTCGAGATCGAGCGCGAAGGTACGGGGGACCTGTCCGGTGCCATCAGCTGGCACCTCAGCACCTGTTTGCAGTCTCTTGTTCTCTTGTAGTGGTGAATTCCCCCGTGGGAGGGATGCAGTGGCCGTGGCTTGTGGCCAGGCCACCACGGGCTCCCTAAGGAAGTGGAGGGTCTGTGGTTAATGAGCTGGAGAACCACGGCCCCAGCTCAGCCTGGGGTGGGAGGTGATGCTGAGTAGGACCCCAAAACAACCCTGTGAAAGACAGGATAGGAAAAGGGGTAGAGGGAGGAAGGACACCATGCTCTGCCTCCTCCTGCACAGGGGCACTTTGAGGTGCCACCCTGGCAACCTTTCCGTGTTTCCTTCACCATAGCTTCCCTCACCCTGACTCACCCAGCCCATTTCTCCCTCCTCTCCAAGCAGAGGGGCAGCCAGGGAGGTGCTGACAGGGTGGGCTCAATTCAGCACCTGCTGCTCTAGCTCTGGAATCAGCAGAGTCAGGAGCTGGTCACTGGGCCATGAGGAACTGCCTCTGGAGAAGCAGAACTGCTCCCTGGAACCATCCGTGTCCCTCAGAACTCCTTTAGACCTAGCAGGCAGCAGGACACATGCCATCTCTCCCCATCACATCCCACTTTCCCTCCCCTACATCAGTGCTGGGGCTGTTTCTGGGTCGGGTGTGCTTTGTGTCTCTCCCTGTGTTCACCACTGCCCCCCTCCAGCCTTTATATCAGTTTCTGGGGACTGTCCCCTGCACCTGGATGAGATCCGCCACTTCCTGAACCTGTGCCCGGAGCTGTCCCTCGGCTGGTTTGAGGAAGGGAGGCTCGTGGCTTTCATCATTGGCTCCCTCTGGGACCAGGAGAGGCTCAGCCAGGTATGACCCAGTCCTTCCCACCTCGTGCACCACCAGGGAGGGCACCAGCTGCTATGAGGGGAGCAATCCAGGACCCCTTGGGGCACCTCAGCCTCAGGGGAGAAGGGGCAAATCCAGCCTCAGGTCATTCAGTGAAGGGTGGGATAAAGGCAGGGCTGACTCTGCCCTCAGGCAGGATCAGGAGGTTCCATGGATCCAGATGTTGGCTTCTCCTTCTGCTTGAGACTCTCCAAATCCTGTCTCCTCCCAGGGAGGGCTTTGAGTGGCCCCTCAGGGCACCAGCCCTGCCAGAGCCTGGGGACCAGGAGAAGCTCTCTGGGCCCCTGAGGCTACTCCCAAAATCTTCTCCCATAACTAACTGCTATAAGGCTGCTCTGGCAGAAATGAGCTTTCTCATTAACTAATTTAAACGACGCTGTTAAAAAATATGCCAAGTTAAATATCCCCCTCAACATTCATTTTAAAACTAAAAACCCTCCGAGGATGACGGCGGGGAGGCGAACAGGCACGGGGAGGGCGATGCGGAGCCTGGTTCTTTGGGGTGGGGAATAAGAAGCAGGATGGGACCCCCAGGTCCTGCTAAGGCCTGTTTCCCCCCTGGCAGGCAGCGCTGACCCTGCACAAGCCGCAGGGCTCGGCCGTGCACATCCACGTGCTGGCCGTGCACCGCACCGTGCGCCAGCAGGGCAAGGGCTCCATCCTGATGTGGCGCTACCTGCAGCACCTGCGCTGCCTGCCCTGCGCCCGCCGCGCCCTGCTCATGTGCGAGCCCTTCCTCGTGCCCTTCTACCAGAAGTGCGGCTTCCAGGCGCTGGGGCCCTGCCAGGTGACCGTGGGGGAGATGGCCTTCGTGGAGATGCAGCACCCCGTGCGGGGGCACGCCTTCATGCGCAGGAACAGCGGCTGCTGAGGCCTGGCCGGCCTGGGGGTGACAGGCTGCAGCCCCCCTCCATCCCCACGCTGTGATCCGTCGTCCCCAGCTGGCCCTGGATACAGCTGCTCCCTCTGCCACTTCTGCCTGCCAGCCACACCGGCCTGGCCCCGTCCCATCCCTGCGGGGCTGGGCACAGGAATTCCTGCCTGATCCTGCTGGAAGCATCGGCTCCCTGGGCTCTGCTGGCAGGTCTGGGTGGGCTGCAGGGCCACGAGCCCCCTGGGATGGAAAGGCTTTGCCCTGGGAATGGCTGGGGGGCTCTGCTGGTTTGAGGACACTTCCACCCACCACGGTTTGCTGAGACACCCAGCAGAGCCTCTGCAAACACGTGCCCCTGCCTGGCACCCCTCCCACCATCACAGCCACCACGAGTGGAGCACACCATGGCCAAGCCCTCCCTGAGCAGCCCCCAGGCCAGGCAGGGGCCATGGCAGCCTCCTCCCTACCCCCAGCCATCCTTCCAGTCCCCTTGGAGCACATTCCCAGCCCACAGCCACCCTCAGCTGCACATTGCAGAGCCTCCCCAGGGAACCAGTCCAAGCCATTTGGTCCTCCCTGTCCCAGACCCACAACCAGCCCAGGACAAGGCTTCTGCAAACTCAGGTTGTTGGAAAGCAGCAAATAAAGATGTGCTGGTGATTTTCTACACAACCTATGTGTGTTCATGCCCTGCTTTGATCATGACCTTACCACAATGGCCAGAGGGAGGGCACCAGCTGCTATGAGGGGAGCAATCCAGGACCCCTTGGGGCACCTCAGCCTCAGGGGAGAAGGGGCAAATCCAGCCTCAGGTCATTCAGTGAAGGGTGGGATAAAGGCAGGGCTGACTCTTCCCTCAGGCAGAATCAGGAGGTTCCATGGATCCAAATGTTTGGCTTCTCCTTCTATTTGAGACTCTCCAAACCCTGTCTCCTCCCAGGGAGGGCTTTGAGTGGCCCCTCAGGGACCAGCCCAGCTTGTCCTCCCTCCCTGCCACACCAGCCATCACCAGAACAACCAGAATCCCCCAAAAGTGCTGCATCCCCATGCCCAAGAAGAGAGAAGAGACCTTGTGCATCTCATTAAATACAGGTAGAAATTTATTAAGGATGGGGGGAACCCACAGCTTTTTAAAAAAGTATCAAAAAGAGACAAATGAGGTGAAGTGTCTGTCTTTGGCTGGAACAGCAACTGGAGGGACAGAATGGGGCTGAAAACTGGCCCAGGGTGGAGGGAGGGATGCAAGGACGGATGCAGATGCTCCTGGGCTCACACAGCAAGTGGTTGTGGAGAGGGAGCCAGGCTCTCAGCCCTTGAATATTTATCCAGGACATCCTAACTGGGGCATTCCCACCTGCCCCCACTTAAAAGCACTGAGGCTTCCAGCACCAAAGCAACACATCTCAGGGGAGAGACAGCCTGGCACCAGCCTGGGTCCAAACCAGCCCAGAGAGGTCACCTGGACCCCAGGAAGGACCTGCCTTCGTGCCATGGCTGGTGGAAGGAGGAGGAGGAGATGCTGGGGAGAGCAGCCCAGGGCTGGGGACAGGTGGGACTGTGCAGCCTTGGGCAGGGAAGAGGGAAAGTGACTGCCCCATCCTGCACTTCCCCATCTGACCAGCACCACCGCAGGAAGGAAGGCTGCCTGGGTCTCCACGACTTGAAAAAGGGACTCAAGCAGGGACTCAAGGCAGAAGGTGGGAGCACCAACAGCTTCCTGAGAGGTCTGTGGGCTCCAGAAGCAGCCACATGAGCCCCCCCAGGGGGTTTTTCTCCATGTCTGCCTCCCACCATGGCACTACAAACATGGTTCTTGCCACTCCTCCCCTTCCAAAAGGACAATTTCCCTGAAATAAGAGAAGGTAAAGCCCCCTGCCCCATGTCCTGCCTCTCCATCCAGTGAGGAGCCAGGCGGGAAGGCACAAGCCTCCTTGGCCTCAGGGGGAACAGGACTGAAAAACATCTTTGAAGCTCAGCCCTGAACATCTTGGAGCCTCGACAGAGACTCCAGGAAGCGCAAAATGGGAAAACCCTGGGCCTAAAGAGCCGTGGATAAAAAAAAGTGCCCCTGCAAAAAGGGGGTTGTGTTCACAGTATGAGCTGCAGTGCTGCAGGGCACTGAGGTGGGATGGAGCCCCAGCAGGCAGGGGCACAGGCTGGAGACTTCAGCAACTTCACCCCAGGACTGGGAGTCCAGCCTGGCCACGGATACACCAAAATCCCGCTTCCCTCAGCCCTTTCCCCACACAGGCAGCAGCCAGAGTCAGTCCCCAAACCAGTTACAGCTTTCCAGCATCAGGAGGGAGCCCCAAAGGCGGCCAAGGCAGGGCTGCCTCAGCCCTGCATCCCCAGCGTCGAGCGAGGGGTACCCCAAACCCAGCCTCCCTGAGGATGGAGCCACGCCCAGGCTCTGCCCCATCCTGGAGCAGCCACCACCACCTCCCACAGGCTGGGGAGGACCCACCCCGTGGGAAACACCTCCCGTGCCAGCCCCGTCCCTGCCAGCAGGGTCAGTGCAGGACCTGCTCCAGCTCGTACTTCTCGCAGAACTTGCTGGTGAAGGGCAGGCAGGTGAGGTACTCCACCCAGCGCCAGTTCACGGGGTACACGTAGAGCCACACCACCAGCGAGGCGAAGAGCCCCACGAAGACCAGCAGGGACACGATGATCATGGCCCGCTTGCGGAACTTGTCCAGCGTGCCGAAGGTGATGTAGGGCAGGAAGGCGAAGGACAGCAGGAGCCCGCTGAGGAAGCCGAAGAGGTGAGCGATGTTGTCGATCCAGGGCAAGAGGCCGCAGATGAAGAGGAAGAGGACGATGCCAAAGAGGTTGAGGAAGGCTTTCCAGGGTTTCTCCAGCACTTGCCAGCTCTGGAAGAGCTCCACGAAGAGGCAGGCCAGCAAGCCGAACTGGGAGCCGGCAGGGCCCACCTGCAGGGATGGGGGAAGTCAGGGCTGGACTCTGTGTCACCCCAGACACACCCCATGTTCCCCAGGGATCATCTCCTCCCCTAGCAAAGTGCATTTAGCTCCTGCATTCCTGTGCAGAATCCTGCATGGGGCTCAGGGGTGGGAGCCCTGGCACAGGAGGATGAGGAGGGGAGCAGGGTGGTGCTGTTTTGGCAGAGCTGATATTTTCTGTGACTCAGCAGCCAGAGAGCATCACCCCCTCACAGACCACAGCCCCATCCTGGCACACCTGTGGGGGGATTAAGGCCCTTGGCATGATCTCATTTAAAGCCTGACAGGGTTTGGCTGGCAGCAGATTAGCCATCTGCCTGCCCAGGGACCCCGCACGCTCAGAGACACGTGGTGACATGTGACACACATGGCATGTGCCAACACCACACGTGGGGCAGTGACACCCCCTCCCCTTCTCCCTGCAGCAAACCCTGCCAGGAGGTGAGAATCTGTGCTCCAGCCCCTTCCCCAAACCTCTGCCCAGGATGGGGATGGAGAGGGGTGTCCTTTGGTCCCTGGGAGCTGACAGGATTTGAGACAGACCCCCAAACCCTCACCTCTGCCCTGTAGGGTAGGAAGATGGCACTGGCCAGGTTGCCCGTGATGCCACTGAGGATGAAGATGATGGAGATGCGATGCCAGCCTGCCAGCTTCTCCAGGTCCCGCAGCACCGTCATCTGGAATGTCACCGACACCAGGCAGTGGATGATGCTGGGGGAGAGGCCCTGGGTTAGAGACCCCTGCCCAGCCCTCCCACCCAGTGCCCTGGGCACGAGACAGCTCACAAAACACCCCCACTGAAGGCACCTGTCACAGTCTGGGAGTGCCCCTCCCTCTTCTCTCCCAGCCCATCCCGGTGGGCACTCCAGTGCCCAGTTCCCCCATCCCTGGGGATACGGGGGCTGCGGCTCACCCGGCGTGCAGGAACAGGGACAGCCACAGGCGATAGAACTGGTCAGGGACCTCCGGGTTCAGGAAGGGCAGGAGCCCACAGACCTCGTCCAGGCAGTGCACCTGCAAAGGCAGCAGGGTTGTCCCCAGAGCCTCAGCGAGCAGAGGATGGGTCACAGGGATGAGTTGCCAATGATGTGGCAGCTGTGAGGGGATTCTGGATGGTGTGGGGCACCCATGCTACCGTGGTGCTGGTTAAGGTGCCTTCTGCCCCACACCAGCAAGGTGGGCACAGCAGCAGGAGCCCAGCCAACAGCTGGGCAAGTCCCTGCACATTGCATTGCTCCTGCTCATGCCCATCCCAACCATGTCCTATTCCTGGTAGGACACTCTGAAGCCCTCTGGCATCAGCATGGCCGTTAGCATTGTATCCCACACACCCTGCCATGGCTCCCTGGCCCTGCTCACCTGCGAGCAGAGCGTTGCCTCCTCGTGGAAGTAGCCGTGCATGAAGTCGCAGTACTCCCGCGTGGTGATCTCGCAGCTGGCAGGGGGCAGGAGGGGGCTCGCTGGGGGCAGGGCACACTCAGGACAACCCTGAGCATCCCCCTCAGCTCCCAGCCTGCTGCCACTGTGCTTCCCCCACCCCTCAGGGCTCTGTGAGCTCCCTCTCCCCCCAGGCACAGCTCTGGACACTGATGGGACAGCACGAGGCAGGAGTGCAGAGGGGGGAGCCCAGCCAGGTGCCCCCTTTGCCACAACCCACCTGCCCTTGGTGCCAATGCAGCAGGGCCTGCCCTTGATCTCGCAGTCCAGGTGGGCAAAGCCCGTGTGGTTGGTTTTGGTCTCGTAGGTGCAGATCTAGAAGCAGGAGGGAAAGGAGCCCTGGTCAGAGTCCAGCCCCAGGCTGTCCCTGCAGACCCTTGCAGGATCATTGCCACTGCCACCATGGAGCCACCAGCTGATGGTGGCACCGGGCTCTTACCGGCCACTTGGTGATGTCATCCGGCCACACATGGGGTGGGTTGGATGCGGGCTCCTCACATGTCCTGGCAGGAGGAAGGGGGTGGGTCGGGTGGGTCCCCCCAACACACCCCCCTGCAGACCAGTAACCCCCTCAGGCACAGGCAGCTCTGGGACCTGCCTCGATCCTGCCCACCAGTGGGTGTCCCACAACACCCCAAGCAGCTCCTTCTGTGGGTGAATCCCACAGAACTCAGAGCTGTTGGACAACCCACCGATGCCCAGGGATGTTCCCATCCCAGCAGGACAGGGACAAGCACAACACAACAGCATCATCTGCTGCTGCCCATGTTAAGGACAGGCCCTGCCTCAGTTTCCCCACAGACTCCCTCTTTATCACTCTCCCAGTGTGCAAAAACCTCCCATCCCCCCGGACAAGAGGATTCAAGGCATCCAAGCTGGAAAGGCAGCTCCTTCTGCCGTGTCCCACACACAGCCAGGTGACAGGGTCACTCCACCCAGCTGCTACGTCTACCTGGGGTCCTGGTGACACACAGCCCCCGAGGTCCGCCTCTCTCCCGAGCCCATGGCTGGTGCATTGCTGCCCGGCCACTTGAT